TTATTAATAAAGTGAAACCTTTGACGCTCAAGATTGTTCTTTAATGTTCATAATTTATTCTTGAGTGTTCATCACTTTGTCCATTAATGGGCTATAATTTGGTTATTCTTAACTAGATTATTAGTGTTATTGAGAGATCTGTGATCAACAATTGGTATCAGAGCCAATTGATTGTTTTACCAATCAAAACGATCATCTAAAATCTCTCAATTTTTTTCAAAACGTAAAATCTCTCTCTTCAAAATTCTCAATGGTCAACTGGAATTCTGCATATAGTGTTGGCTCCCTCACCAAGCCTCCAACTCTTCAACGAGAAGAATATCCACAATGGAAGATAAGAATGGTGAATTTCTTGGAAGGAATGGACAAGAACCTCCCGCGATCTGTAATGGAAGGTCCTTACATTCCACAAACTCTTGTCCCAAGAGTCCCAGGAACAAACATCACAGCTGAAATTCCTGCCTACTACATGCCCAAGGATGAGAAGAATTGGGATGAAGACGACATAGAATGGGTAGAGACAGACAAGAAGGCCAAACGACTGATAATCATGGCCATACCCAATGAAATCTTCCAATCCCTCGATGCATGTTCCATAGCCAAAGAACTATGGGATGAACTGGCAAGCCAACTGGAAGGAGGGGCTAAAACGAAGAAAAATCATAGAGCACAATGTCTCAACGAATACACAAACTTCAAGGCCCTTCCTGATGAACCGATTCAGAAGACATACGATCGTTTCAACACATTGATTAATCAATGTCGTCGAAATGACATCTCCAGAACTAAGGAAGAAAACAATGTTTTATTCCTAAAAAGTCTGGGTAATGAATGAACTCAGCTGTCTATGTCTCTTCAGGCAAATCATGACCTAGACGGCTGGTCACTTCATGATTTGTATGGAACGCTTGCAGCACAAGAGAACGACATTATGAAGAAGAAGGTATCCATCGGTGGACCTCTCGCTCTTGCTGCCGATGAAAAGGAAATATCAAGGACCCCTACCAGAGAACATAAGAAGAAAGGAAAGAAAGCACTGGTGGTAGAATCAGAATCTGAAGACAAAACTTCTCAATCAGATGATGAAATTAAAGTCTTTGCTAAATCTCTGGCCTTGATTACAAAGCAGTTCCAGAAAAAGTTCATCAAGAAACCCTATGAACGAAAAAAATTCAAGAAGGAAAGGTACCAGTCATCCTATGAAAGGAAGCCATCTAAATTCCATCAAAGGGAAGATAGAAGAGATGGAAGAGAAGAAAGAGAAGAAAGAAGAGAGGACAGAAGAGACAAGAGGAAGGAGGACAAGGATGGAAGGAAAAATGACCTCCGCTGCTTCAGGTGCGGAAAACTTGGTCACTTTTCCAAAGAATGTAGAGGACGATTGGTAAAGGATGCTGACTTTTACAAGAAGAAATACAAGTATAATCCTAGAAAGCGAAGCCTGATGGCTAAGAAAGAAAATTGGGTGTCTGATTCTTCATCAGATGATGAAGACAAAGCACCCATCTATCTGATGGCCACATCTAATGCAGAATCTGCCTCCAACTCAGATGATCAGGTATGTGAGTCTACTTCAAATGAAACCAACTCTGCTCCATCTGAGCTAGAGTTAAGGGTTATAAAACTTTCAGAAGATTTCTTCAAATTAAAAGAGAAATTAAATTTTGAAAAATTTGAAAGGATAAAAGCGGAAAAAGAAGCAATTTTCTACAAAAGAGAGACTGACCTTCTAACCGAAGAAAAAGCAGAACTTGCTAAGGAAAAGACTCGTATCAGCACTCTTAAGAAATCAGAGGAAGATAAACTTCTGGAACTAAACAAACGAATACTAAGGACTTAGAAAAGAAAACTAAGGCTTTAAAAGAATCTGAGGCAGAGAGACTAAACTCAGTTGCTCTTAAAGATTTCTTCCAAAAAGAACGGGAAATTCTTCACTAGAAGCTTCGAACCATTGAACTTCTGAAGAAGAAGTACAAAGATGCCCAAGATGTTTATGAAACATTAAATGGTCAAACGGACACTCAAGGGATTGGATTCAATGAATTGGACTCTTTCATCGAATMAAAGAAATCCACCCTTGAATCCATTTTCAAACTTGGATGCATTCAAAAACCCGACTTTACTTCAAAACCAAAAGCAAATTTTAAAAGAATTAAAGTCGATGGAAAAACTGTCGTTTTAAGACAGGATTCTGAAAATGTGGTATACGAGAACAGTGCAAGTAAGAATTCTGATGGAAGAAATGACACCTCTAAATCAAAGACCGATGGAAACCCTATGGTTAAACCAGAATCTCTGATTGTCAATTCCACTCCATTAGCAAGTACCGTTGATGAAAAAGAGAATCCTAATGAGGAAACATCAGCTGATGAATCGATGAACCATCCAAGTAAAATTGAAAGTTCATCAAAGTCAGAATCGATGAAACCTCAAGCAGATCACTCTGAAGCATCAACCTCTTAACCCATATCTTCCACTTTAATCCATGCTAATTTTGATTTCGAGAAATCTGCAAGAGACTTTCTCGATTCTAAATCCGAAGAAGAGATAATTTGTGAATCACCAAAGATCATTGAGAAGAAGAAGCCTCAAAACTTAAAACCCTCAATGAATTATGGTATTCCTTCATCGATGAAATCTTCAGAYAAAGGAAAGGGAAAACTGAAAGATAGCAAATCTGCCAAAGATAACTCACAAGGCCC